GTGTCTCTATATGTGTGATCTTTTTGTTGATGATGTTCTAATGCTCATTCAATTGACAAAGCTTCTTTTCTGTATGTGTGCCTGTATTTAGTAGAAAGCTTATTTCTTACGCGTGTGCTTGCATTTAGGAGAGTTATCTCATAAATTTAGAAAAACTGTATATTCTTGTAACTGTGTCTATATTCCTTATATGTTAATGTATATTTATTGTCGTTTTATGACAGGCTTGAGACCTAAGATCCCTTGGTCCTCCTGCTATGTGCAGGATTTTCGATTTAGTCTCTGACCCTTATTTTAAGACTTTTAATTGGAGTCTGTTTGTGTCTCTATATGTGTGATCTTTTTGTTGATGATGTTCTAATGCTCATTCAATTGACAAAGCTTCTTTTCTGTATGTGTGCCTGTTTTTAGTTGAAAGCTTATTTCTTACGTATGTGCTTGCATTTAGGAGAGTTATCTCATAAATTTAGAAAAACTGTATATTCTTTCCCTTGATGTATGAAAGTAAATCTGTACTCCCTTGTTTCCCTTTTTTAAGCTGACCTAATTGATAGCAAGCACCCCTCAATGTCACTATGTTGTTTGTTCTAATGTTCTCATACATAATTTGTGTTGGATGGATAATCTTCTCGTTTTTATAGCTTAATGTATATAACTATTCTCATATATACTTTATACTCTTATAATATTTTGCGTTGCTTGCTTTAGAACTGATCATTCCCTATGTCTTTGTCATGCGATTTGCTTCCCGACATGAGCTCAGTACACCTTGTGTTGAATGGGATGATTCCTTGAATCCTAGTGTTGATTGACACTTTCTCAAATTTTTGATTTTTAATATAAATCGGACATATAGGAAAGAAATTCTACCCACTGTTAGAACACACCCTTAGTGACTTACTCTCACTCTGGGAAGATTACCTTTAATTCCTTGTTCGAGTTTTTGTTGTTCCGGTAGGAGCTTCTTCTATCTCATCCGATTCTTCTGCAGTGTGGTTGTTAGCTGAATCCTGCGCCCAGTCTTCTGATAATATCTTGTGATTAGTCTTGTATCTTAGCATTGCTCATTTGCTTAACCTTCTAAGTAAAATAAAGTTCTCCGCCACTTGCTACTTGATTGTTAAATTGGTTGGTTGACTTTGGTTAGTCCATTCACGGTGGTAGTAGATTAAGCTTATTGACCTATGTATAAGGACATGGTTAAAAATGTAAAGTGTAGAGAGTAGCAGGAAAGATACGACCAAAGGAGACAATAAACCTCTTCCCAGGTACGACTAACTCAGCTAGGAAAAGTCCTTAGTTTGAGAGAATCGAACTAAGTCCTTATTTGTGTTTTCTAATTCACTAGCCTCAGTTATATACTTGAGTGTTTTTCTCACACGCGGTGTCCGGGTTCAACTTGCCGGGTCTACCGCTAGTAATCCTGAGGACTCTAACATTAGGTATATTTAGATTCGGACCCAAGACTCAGTATTTGACGATCCTGTCGTTTTGGAATTTGTATTGACTTTTGATAGTCTTGTCCCTATATGCTACACGCACACTGAAATCCTCGAACAGTAATTATTCGCTGGTAATATCGGATAACGTCCGCGTATTCTCTTTGAACAGGTTTTACTATAGCCCTCAGCTACACAGAATATGCTTTTCATTGCTACTTCCCAAGACAAAGTACTGTCGCTTTTGGCATATTTATGTCATTTAAAACGTACGCGTTAGGACCCTCCTCGGCCCTTCTACTGTAGAAAACACACCAGATACAGACAAAAGTAAAATAGAAACCAATTTGGGGACCGCTACTATGACGAAGAAACTTAAGGATGCAACGAAGATCGTCATTGGTATCGATACCGTAGCCACGAACCCTGAGTTGGTAGCAGTAGTTGATAGCTACACGCCTCTGTATATGCAACTACTTTATACAATCAGTGCCGAGTTTAACCAAACCATTGCTTTTCGACCATTTTACAGTAGTAGGTATCGGTGCAATGATGAACTATAAATATTATGCATACTAGTACTTTGCAGTACTGTTGCTACTATTTCCTGTATATCTGTTGTTTGAGGGATGTCTATAATACAAATGGCTCATCAAATCGCGTCATGTCTACTCATCGAAGTGTATATTGCGACCACTGTCGCCTCTAATTTTCTGTGCACTAAAGTTGTCAAAGCCCTTAAAACTACTACCGGCACACTGAAATCCACGAACGGTAATTATTTTCTTGTAATATTTAGAGAACGTCCGCGTACTTCTTGAACATGTTTTATTATAGTCCTCAGCTACACAAAATATACTATTCATTACTACATCCAACACAAAATATAACTATTGGCAATGTCGCTTTTGGCTTATTTTTGTCATTTGAAACGTACAGACTGAGAAAAACAAATCTGAGTCGTTCCAAACTCGACATTTTGGCAACAATTAAGTCATAGAACCTACTGGTGTAGGTAGCAACTTGTCGCTTACGTTGATTGTCTCGAGCTCTGCTACGCCCATTGTATAGATTAACAAGTTACGTCGCATTTTCTCCAACCGAGGCCATTGAAGTGGTAGACTTTTACATATATTTAAAGTAGTTCTAACGTATATTTACAGCGCGCTTCGTAGTGTATATCATATAGTACTCGACTATGAGATAAATGACACCACCAAGCTTAATTGAAAATACATTGTTTATTGTCACAGGTCAAAATACAAGTTTTCAACTTTGGTATATGGAGTACCGAATATCCCATTATTTATACTGCAGCCGACATTTTCAGCTCATGGCAGCATTACAAATCACCCCTTGTACCCGAGATGCCAACTAGTACTTCATGGCATCCAATTTAGGTATAGCAATGTTTAAGTACTAGCAAGTTTAATTAGGCGCCCTTTCCTTCTCAATAGCATAGTCAAAGGCACAGACACAATACGTATATAATAGTAGATCGCTACACTTTAAGGATACACGCTGTAAGTTTACGATTGAATTACTTAAACCATCTTCAAGTTTTAGCCTATCTGTCTTAACAGTTATTATAAAACCTCAACTCTCAAGAAGTATCTTAAGAACCCCCTGGGGCTGGTAGCCTTTCCCCCAGCAGAGTATATTTATGTGATATATGTGTGCATTATAGTCATAGTCATAGTGTACCTCGTCTCAATTGATTTAGGTTTTATGGGTTGGTTGTTACAGTATACCGCGTGTCAGTCCTGACCGCAGTCGTGTAGGAGTGTAATCCTCGCACGAATCAAACACTGACTGCAGTATCTCCTTGGGAATATTCCACGCGCTTTATTTTTGCTGGGCAAGCGCCCGGAGTCTAATTACCTGCAAGTAATAGAAACCGGCGTGCCAGGCCCACAAAGCTTTATAATACTATATCAGCACCCACAAGTTGATCTATACAGGTGAGGGCAAGGATATTATTAATTGCTCGCAAAATTTGACATCAGAACAAAGTACCTGTGTGTGTATGATCGCTTCATTGTCTTGCTGCGCCGGTTGTGAATAGAAGTACATATAAGCCACAATGCTCTCAGACACAGAGTACGCTGTTGGCGGTGCTCTCGGAGATTTCCGATACCTGTTATTCTCATCTTCAGTTTGTTGTCTATCATTGATCAGAAATACATATCTGCGTGTCATCATTCTAATTGAGTATAGAATATACACGGGCAGCTATATCTAATGGAACTTTATGAAATGGAATAAGACTGGCAGAAAGCAGGAACATATTGCTGAAACGTGTATGCTAACCCTATTCAATTCTTGCTCAAGAATGTAATCAATGGGCTGATCACGTTCTGCAAGGTCCTCAGTACCAAAGATCGCATCCTGGGGCGAGATATAATCCATAGTCACAACAGTGTATATCTTGGCACTCATTAACAAGCAGCTGTACCTCATCCGGTGACTGCACCATCATCCAATTCATTGGAAACGATTGAAGGTTCCGAAATGAGGCGTCAGCAGACAGATATGAGGCCTCAACTGCATCCCACAACGGTAAAGAAATACCAGCAGGTAAGTAAGAGTTCGTTCTCTTACTCGTTTACTGATTTCCCCGTGGAGCGATATTGTACGCTCGGACAATTTCGCGGAAGCAGCTTGTGTAGGCACAGGGAATGCAGGTGCAGGTGTGGTCGAGTGGGTATTAACAGCTAATCCTGACATATACTTGCTACTGATTCTGTACAGACATTTGGGTGCACGATGTAGACAAAAGAAGCAAAAACAAAAGACTTCTTGGTTTTAAGAATTGGCGGAAGGGTTAGGCCAACTAGTAGTAGCTCAGAATATATAATCTCATAAGCGAATATATTCCTTCATCTACTAATGTCTCAAATAGGTCTAAAGGCATGAGCCATATTATACTCTCAGGCTATAAGAGTCATTAAAGTGAATTTAGAACACTTTGGATATATTGGAAACAAACAAGTTGTACCTCATTATTTTATTATAAATTAAAAAATCCAAAAGTTCATTTGATTTTGATACTTTAGACTGACTAGAGGCAGTATCTTTACACAGTTTCCAGTATCTTTTAGACCTACGGTTGTCCGGGTTCAGTCATTTCTTACCTAAGTAAGTATGTGCCTATATGTACTAGTATCACGATTCATGTTGTACTCAATGTGGTCTAGTATTTGGTCCGGTAACAATTTCTGTTGTAGACGCCTTACGTCTAATGTATAATTTTGGAGCCTGGGTTGAACTAGAAGAATGTCAGTCACTGTTGGAAAGCAGATCGAACAATTTCGTCACATATGAAGTAGGTGGCAAACAAAGTACGGCGGACCCAGAAGGACTAGCTGTAACCTGAGAGAAGCCTTACCAATAGTCTCGTGTGTTTTTATGCAATATCTCATTTCACTTCTTGTTAAAGTTTTGCAGGAAATTGTGAGCTTCATAAAATACATCGGTTGGATGTTTTATAATAAGTGGACCTGTCTTCGAATGTTTTGTCAGTAATATCTTTGACCAGAACAGAATACAGGAACATCAAAATCAAAGATTTATCGATACTGCGTCGTTGACTGCGTCGTTGACTGTGTCGTTGACTGCGTCGTTGACTGCGTCGTTGACTGCGTCGTTGACTGCGTCGTTGACTACGTCGTTGACTGCGTCGTTGACTGCGTCGTTGACTGCGTCGTTGACTGCGTCGTTGACTGCGTCGTTGACTGCGTCGTTGACTGAGTCGTTGACTGCGTCGTTGACTACGTCGTTTATTCCATTCGAGGTGTTCTTAGAAGTAAAGTTTTGTTGAGCCTGTTCACCGAGTAGAAGTGTGTTTGTTGATTTCTACCTTTGATAGCATCGGTACTGTCCGTTGGTGGTGTTTGACTGACTACGTATTATGATAGTCTCGAGTTTATTCCATTTAAAGTGCGCATAGAAGTAAAGATTTGTTGAGCCTGTTCACCGAGTAGAAGAGTGTGTGTTGATTACTATCTTTGATAGCATCGGTACTGTCCATTGGTGGTGTTTGACTGACTACGTATTGTGATAGTCGTGGTCTGTGTTTCACTTATCTGCAAATGATTGCCGTTGACTCGTCTTATTTTGCGTATAGCAGATATACCCGGTTGCGTGACCACACTTTAAAGTATGACATAGGACTAGTGTAAAAATAGCGGGTTCCTAATAGTAGTTGCACAGTTAACGTATATTATAAACGTATAAGTATAATAACGGTTATACTTATAATCCTGGAATACGTTTAACGAATTGGACATGAACAAGAATGGCGTAATTCAAGATTCTGAACATGTGACAGTACTCATTAGAGTATGGGACTCTACTGTGAACAGTTAGGTGGCTTTCCAAATATAGATTGGTTTTTCCACTGAAATTAGAATTGTACGTAATATAGGAACGACAACACTAATCGGACACCTGAAAATGACACTTTGGGAATCTCTAATTAATGGGAGTACCATGTGAGAGGATCTCAGGCATGAAATGGTTGTTGGTACAAACCTATGGTATAGTTCGATAATGATCTCAGAGCAAGATAATCCACTGAGAAAAGGACAGTATCAGAGTTGTTAGAATTTAGGACAACATGGTTTTGATTCCTCCTAACCAGCCAACTTGATGTGCCCGTCTATGCCTTAAATGGGATGGGGAGCTAGGTACCAAGTGATGGGGTTTAGGTGCAAATGTATACTGCACCAGCTTGGTGTTTTGATTTTATTTTGATTTTCTAAAGTTGGACTTAGAGGTATTTTATTGGTTAGTTTGATTAGGTGATTGTTTCGAGGCGTGGAATGTAAACTAAGCGTCCAATGAAATGATATCTAGTCTTAGTAACTAAAACAAAAATAAGTATAGACCGAAGTGGTGAGTGATTAAAGCGGAGCATATAGACAATCGTCTCTGTCTAAAATCCCTTAATCTTTTTCTCATTACCAAGGGCTGAAGCTAAACTTATTTAACATTCGGCATTTTAATGTTTTAACGTATTTTCTTATCAACGTAAACGTCTTGGTATCGTATAGTCAGCCTAGAGGAGACCGACCTTTACACTAGCTCCAACAAGTTTCCACTTATGATATACTCAATGGTTGAACTGTACATTGCGAGTATGAGTTTGCATGTGTTTACATTGAGTGTTTTGCATTCATCGTAAGGTTTTATTATTTACTATGTCGTAGTTCCTACGATAATTTGTTGTTTGAATTTGTTTTGATAATTTTTACAGCCTTCGTTAATGTTACATGGTACGCTGCTTCGACCCATATTGAGCTTAATTGCCGTGTGGGTTTTAGCATACAATTTAGGAGGTTCTCAATAATGCCATTATTACGTTCTAACTTCCAATGTATTGTATAGAAAGTTGTTGAGACATACGTAATCTGCACGTGTTGAACAGTGTTGATCTTGTCGAATACCTTCAATGTGAACTATCCCCGGTCTATCACATTCTAGTTCTGCGAGTTTTTCTCAGCATTCTTTGCCATTGTTGGTGTAATTTAGGTCTAAGGTAGTGTTTGTTTGGTCATTGATCTTAAAAGGGCATTCAGTTTAGCTCTTGGTGAATGTTGCCAACTTTTGCTATACATATATTATTCCACTTAGGTGTGTGGATAGTTGTAGTGTGTTCTGTCCATCTCGGATTGATGTACCAGTCGTTGTTTGTATGAGTTCAACATGCGAGTGAAATTGCTTCAAAGTTTGCATGTAGTCCTTCCGCTTTCGATTTAATGGAAAAATCATTGTTCGAGATTATTGAGTGTATTTGACGACATTTAGTTTGTGAATTGTATTTTTATTCACGTATAAATTTGTGGACTTCTGAGCCCAACTCTGTTCGAATGCGTCTACTAGGGGCACGTCTTCTTCTAGGCTGCAATATGTTGGCACCTGATGGTTGTTCCTTGATGAAAAACATATTGATATTGTACTACATCACCGAATACTGCAACAACATGTTTTAAAAACAACTCACGGTGTAAAAAGGTGTACTCCAGATGGATCAAGTTGTGTATAGCTATTTAGGATTGTTTGTCAAGATGGGTTGTTTTGCTTAAATATCGACGCTGTTCAATAGCAGGACTGGAGTAATTTCTCTGATAAAATGTTCTGATTGTTTTGACACAAGGAACGATCAAAGTTGTGCCAAGTGCCCTTGGTGGACGGAGATTTGAGACTGGACAAGAAATTCAACAGTGAAGTTGGCAAGTTGCCTTGCTCGACGTTGATAAAACCTTGAGGTTTTTATGTTGTATATGTACCATGTTAGCTCCAGAATTGATAGGTGAGTATTATTTATTTTAAATGAGAATTTACGGATTTAGGGGTTTGTAAGGAGTGGCCCCGTTTCATCACACGTTGGTATAGAGCTAAAACACTTGGTGCAAACCATCTTTATGCATTCTTCTGTATATTTACTGTTTAGACAATCAATTGAGTCACAATATCAGTAAATAGATATCCGACAGAGGCTACGTTATAGACATTAGTGTAGGGTTCTTTAGTCGTGCGCAATCACCTTGTTTGAATGCACATATGACTGATATGTCGTTGGCGGAGTTGGTGGTCTGATTATGATTTTCAAACGTTAGTATCATAGCATATACTTCCGCGATGGCCAGTTTGTTAGCGTCCAGTTAGAATGTATTTTTTTATACTTGTTGGATGACTGTAGAGCAGTACATATGTAAGATACTTCTCGGTGATTGTCTTCCCTGTACTACATCTACTAAACGCTGACAGATCTTTTTTAAGTTCTGCATAGGCTGTTCTGTGGATCTACTTGCTTTGAAATTGAGCACAGAATGCTATCTAGAATCTACCATTACTACCAGTGTTGATTGTGCATACAGATATGTCAAAGTATTAGTGTTGAAGTCTCGATAATTGATATTTGTAGACTGTATTCACCAGGGATTCGCTGATAGAGTCGATGAGAATACATCGGCAGTTACTATCTGCTTAATGCACCTCATTTTCTGATGTTAGAACAATTAAAATACAGTCGATTCAGTGACACAGTGCTTTATCTTCATATGTGCGCCTGTCTACCAAGTGCAAAATTTAGCCCATAATGTCAACTTTGTGTTTATAGACGTCCTTGTATCTTGGACAGTGTAG